ATTATAGATAAATTTATGATCTGGGAACAGAACATCCTGCCCAGCTTTCCTGGATGTTAAATTGATTAAATTGTATTATAATCGGATCACTGGTATAGTATGGCATATGAAAGACGATAATGACAACTAGTAAACCTGTACAATAGAAAACACCAAACTATATTTTGACACGGTAGTAAGATCGGCAAAATTATACAATCAATTTCGACATGTTTACAGGATTGTAAAATGGTTAAACTATGACGAAGGAAAACAAATAAATGAACATAATTAGTAAAAAGAATGAAATGTAGATTTAAATATATGTAGATTAAAATAATAAACTAATTCATTTATTCAGAAGGAAGAGAAACACATGTTAGACATTATTTTTTAACTAACCAGTCTAGCTGTGTATATAATTATGAGAAATATACGTAAAATGTTAAAATTTATACAGAAAGAAAGAAAAATTTATACAGAAAGAAAAATAAATCGTTGCCGACTTGATTATGACTTATGATGTATGAATTTATATAAATGGGGCCAGCAGGAGCTTGGTATGTTGGAGAGTTTAAAATGAAGGCAATTAATTTGTCAGTAGGGACCTGTCAGCTGGTCGTGACAAGTGGAGGGAGAATTATGCATCCTCTGAACAATTAAGCAGTAGATATGAAATATAAAGACTCCTCTGTAGAATATGTAATGTCTATGTAATAATGCGTAAGGCTGGGGCTAGAAAAGTTTTTATGAGTGTTGACAGTAGAGCAATATGACATGTCATTTGTTATGCGTTGGTAAGTGGCGATATTGTCCTGAGGGTGTATTGTTTAGTGCTGGAAGACACTACCCATCCCATTGTGTTAGGGATAAGGCCTGGTATTGACAGCAGATAGACTGGTCACTCATCTCACTGAACTGTCACCGGGCTACCCTGGGGCTGACCAGCCCACCAAAACCTCCTGTATACCCTAAACACTGGTCATTATCTCCATACGGTGATTTGTGTAAGATCTGCATAACAACTGCTCTAGCAGGCTAGTACTGTCATCACATGTGGGCAGAAACGGACACCAACTCTACCACCATGTCACGAAAAATTCTAGGAAAACTGCTTGGTTCGTACAGTTTCTTTATTGTGTTTACAAATGTTGTTATTAACTTTGTTGTTGTAGTCATAATTTGTGATTAGGACACTTTCAAAAACTAGTTTGATGTCTTGAAATGTTCCTGGAAATAATGTGTGGTGCGTACTATTGGAACATGATTATCACATTTATATTTTGTTACATTTTTGCAATTGTTAATTTTTGTAATAACTTCAATGGATATTCAATAGTGAGTTGGATTACAAAATTCATTATTGTTTTGAATTTAAATAGATTTATTTGAAGATGGGTTTGTTGATGTAATAATGATTGACTTATGCAGGTAGTACTCAATATGTGTTGTCGTTATGAAGTAGATATTACAAATCATGGGTTTTTGAAAATGTCATTGCAAGTAATTTCAGGGGAAAAGTGCCAAGGGGATATCCAATTTCATGTTTTTTGGAATTTTGACGCACACATCATTATAATCATAACTATTTCAAATGTGCACGTGTCCGGAATGGTTTGATATTTTATTGATGGAAATTCGTTGATGTATTTAGAAGCTAGTGGTGTTCGGGAGAGAACAAATTTACTAATAGGTTTTGAGTAGTGAACGGATCTCTGTCTGAACTCCCGTAGATCTGTACGGGGCTGTGATATCACTCTGACAAGTTTTGATGGATGGGCTAGGAAATCATTTCTGACAATCGGCCATATTTCCCTGCTTAAAGAAATTACATACCCACGATAACAATTTTTATCTCTGTGAAATCACGGAGCTCCCACATTGACGATCCCGGGTTTAGTTGGAGGCCACCAACTTTTAATCAAGCCTACATATTTTCTGCTTAAACGCATTCTCTATCTTCCCCATTTAAATCTTCCTCTATTGTAATTATTTAACCAAGAAGATTTTCAAACCTATGAATACGGAAGACCCAGTTGTCTGCGACTGGGACGCGACCAGAGTCCGTCGGACAGACCCTTGGAAAGTGAATTTGTTTTTATTTTCGAGTGTGTGTGTCTGTTGTTCACACTGGAGTGTTGGGAGGGTTTTCCTTGGCAGAAGCTATTATTATGGTTGGTATATATTAAATAAATCATAGACGGAGAACAGGCTGATCGAATAGTGTCCTGCCTTCAGCCCATATAGATAACTGCTGATTCGGTTTGTAAATATCTAACGTTATTAATTTTGGAAAACAAAACTTTCTTGGGAATAGGTCGGGATAGAAACCCATGTCTATGTTATGATAGGCGACGTTAAAAATGGTAGTCAGATTTAATTTGATTCTGCCTGTGCCATTTTCTATTTTTGCCATTCAACACTTTTACAAGATTTTGGGTAAGATTCTTTCCGTTTTTATTGGATTACAGGGAAAATTTGAGAGGGGGCCCAATGAAGTCTTTCATCCAATTTGTGTTTGATTGGGAATGAATTCCAATTAATTTGTGATCATTCATAGCTCCGTAGCGGAGGTAATTAAATTGCAGGCTTGATGTGGGAAATATTGTTATTGAATCAGAAAATTTTGGCATTAGTGTCATGAAATTTGTGAAATGTACTCTTGTCGATCCTTTCAGAAATGTCATTATCCCCAAGCAGCAAATAGAAGTTGCGCGTCTATAATGGTCGTTCCTGTAGAGGTGGGTCCGCCACTCCTCACGTAATTGGGGAGGAAAGGGGGGCCTAGGTTAATATCATAGGCTGATGATATAGGCTTGAGCTGCCCATGGAATAATACTTCTGCATTTCAACAGCCTTTTCGTGGTGTTATAACGCATAGCCCTGGATTTCCATAGTGATACCAGTATTATCGTGTGAATTGAATTTGTGAGTTTTGCTGAATTTAATTTGATAACCTTTTCGCTCTTCAACTGCAATCACCATAGCATCGAGTCCCTCAAGTGCATCCAAGCACAACTCGAGTTGTTCATCACCTCAGAAAGAGACTACAGGGTCAGAGGTACAATCAAGTCGACTTTTATCAGAATAGCTCCGTCCTAAATTACATCACTGTGCTATTGTGCTGGCAAGCAGATCAGAGGGTGAGAGTTTGAACCCTGTTCGGGTGCAGTGACAGAAGCATCAACTCACAAACTTCAAAATGCAGTTTCACTTTGTTACATCTGTACAAAAAGCCGTAAACTTTTTTCTCAAAAAATCTATTTACGATTAGTTTCACTATACAGATTTGATAACGTGTTTATTTACATGAGTTTCATGGTACAGCTAGCCCTACCGTTATAACCGTTCACAGCAGGCAACCAAATCTGAATGGACACATTATTTGTTTTTAACTTCTTTTCAGAATGCTTTTTCGCTTGTAAATATAAATCACAAATGGAGATTGACTGGAATTTAATTTGAATTGAATATCCAGTTTGGTTACCAGACGGTATTTCATTCAAGAAATGTGTATTTTTTCTCTGCAAACGTGTTGTAACAAGAAGACGGGAGTTTCGGTGACTAGTAACGACACCCGGTATTTCACGGGTCAGGGAAGAATTGATCACCGATCAGTAGAGACTCCAACGGTTTATTATGGGAAGTATCGGGTGTCTCCTCGTAATTTATACCCGGGGCTACCCTGAATTTCAAAACATACCCCTTGTACATAGCCAGCTATAAGCCCTTAGGGAGCTAGATCAGATAGGACGAGAAACCCTAGTCAACCATCGCCATAGACACTACTGTTAGCCTAGGTATAGGCAGTATTTTTATTCACATGACAAATTTCTTGGTTGGAAGTAGGAATTAGGTGTTGGTTTAATTGTTAAATCATGGAATTAAATGTCCGTCTGATCGAGGTTAATGACAGCCCTGATATACGGTCCGATACAAGGATACCAACAGCACTGCGCTGGTAATATTTCATTTTGAAGACATAATGAAGACTGATGACGTTCACCGACTAAATTTGAATCGGAATGAAAGAAAAATTACTGGGATTTACACAATAACATATAACGCTGTATTTGATCAGAAAATTTGATTGGTTGCATATCTGTGTGTTAGAATCGTACCCATGTCTACAGTAATATCAAAATTATAAATTAATCAGAAACAAAAACATTTTTTTTTATCTGGAATCGATTTGGACATGTACGAGTATCAAATCATACGCAGGATCATTAGCATGGATTTGACAGATGTGTATAGGACCGACAGAAAGTTGTGTTTTATCTCGTTACAGCAACCACATAAAAAAAGCCTCGTTTTAACTGGAGCGTCAGGTGTAGAAAGCCTGTTCTGTTGAGACTTATGTCATCACTATCCTCGGCTCTTACCCTTCATTATAGCAATGTTAGCTTTTCTTGGAATCAATTGCAAAAACAAATTCGGCAAAAACTTTTGAATGAAATTAATTATTCATGTTTGTATTTATTCAAAAGAGTTTTCCATTGAAATTATAAAATGATTTTGATCCTTTTTCATATTTTTTTTAAAGCTGAATTAAATTGAAGCCCTTTTAGACTTCGAGGGAAAGTTTCACAAAAATATGCACGTTTTTTAGAGTGACAGTTTAACAGCATTCCTTTCCGATAGATGATAATAGGAAACACATTTATACACATACACACTGCTTTATTCAAGGTTTGTCAGGAATTTTGTTCCAGTAGGAATAGCCAGTTAAAACTGCACACAAAAAAATGAATACATATTCAACAGCTCCCTTGTTCCCAAAGGATCATTGTACATGTAACACGCTCCTATTCAAATTTCTGTATAAATTAAATTCATGTTTATTGTTTCAAAAAAGTGTGGAAATGGTGCATGTTTATTTGTGATGTTGTGAAATATTTTTTCGCTTTTGAACATTTTGAGCACTGGTACATATCAATGGTACACATTGATGTCAAAATGTCATAAATGTATTACCTGGACTTTCAACTGATTTTCTCGGTTTATTTTGTGTTTTCTAGGTGACGGGTTGGACAATAGCGTAGGTTCAGGGGAAGGAACTGCTGACGAAGATGCCGATGGAGACAGGTCAAATTCAAAACGACAGAAAAAACGGGGAATATTTCCAAAAGTAGCAACTAATATTATGAGAGCATGGTTATTCCAGCATTTAACGGTAAGTTTTTAAATGAAGATTAATTAGAACTTCTTTTTGTGGATGTTGAAGCATTCCGTGTTTGTTGGAAAGAAGGAAAAAGGGAGAATAAAAATTATTAAAAAGCAATGTGGAATCTAAAAATAGATAAACCCAAGTATGACAATATCTTCCCAAAAAACAATGGAAAGTCATTATTTAAGCATCAAAAGCTCTGTGAGAATCAAGAACAATTTGTCTGAGTTTAGCCGATCGGGAGATAGGCACAAGAATAGGGTTCTGTTTGAGATACGTCAATAACCGGTTCTAAACAGACATGACACCTTAATTTGCCTTGTGTTTACTAGTAATCGCCCAGATTCATTTATAAACATATTTACACTGAATTATGAATTAAAAAATCGTGTTAAAAAAGGGGAGCTGGCCCTGTAGTAGATACGTGCTGGTGAGTGATAGCATTGGTCTATAATTACTACAGATTGCCCAGGAAGACTTTTATAATGAAAAATGTCAGAAAATGATGAATGCTCCGAGGCCGCGGATGAGGGATGGAAATTTTGATGTAATTTGCTTTCATATCGGTGTATTCCTTGTGTAATCCCCTTTTTAACAAGTAGTTGATATGTCATTGCGTATCCAAGCAGTTTGGCTGGCCCCTACTATATCACCATATCACGGCTAAATCCCCTATCATCAAGGATTTCATATTGGCCGTGCAGAGAATATGAAATATGAAATATTTATTTTGTATCGGGAGATAAAAGAGTATTATCTGTGAAATGAATCTGCTACTAGAACGGCATGATTAGCATATAAAGAAAATGTCATCTTCCGCTGAGAGCGGCTCGCGCCATCCTGGACGGTATTACCGGGATTGGGCGCAGCACTGATAGGGTCTTGAAGAGGGTTAACGGGTCGACCTCGGAATCGAGGGAGAACCAAGGGACTGAACTCACTAGGGAGACGAGCAGTTCGTGCAAACTTACACTCTTTCATCGTAACATCCAGCACTAGGCACTCTCTGTGCTCCAATGGAGCCATTTAGAAAAGCCAACAACGGGCGTTGAAGCATACAAAAGTACAAGGACAGGCATTTCAAGGAAACAGCTGATTTTCCACCTCATAAGGTGCGAGATTTGTCCCCTACAAATGCGATGGACAAAGGTTAATAAGAACTCACACATCCGAACAATAGGTGTACACCAACCAATCACGTCGCAGCTAACAGACACACACATAACATCTCCCCCATAGCGATCATAATTGTTTCTTGTTTTGATTTATATTGTTTAGAACATGTTACGTCCATCGGTAAACGGTGGTAACTGACATCCCCTCGCTGTCAGTCACACCCTCATCGGCGAGCCAATTCTTTTGAGAAAGAAACCATTTACATTTTGCCGTCGAAATTTTATGAATATTTGACACCTTGAAGAAATAATGAAACAATTGTAGAAATTTGGAAATTAATTTTTTGTCATTAACTGATCTCTTTTATGGAAGAAAAAGCCCATAAAAATTGTCTTTTTAATTCTTGAAATCATAAAACCAGAAGATGAATGACATCAGCTATTAAAAGTATGTCAGCTTTTTGCGTTTATATTGATTGGTTACACTCAAAAAACAAATATAATAAACTTTTGAGAATTTGTAGTTGTCATCGACTGTACTAAAAACAGTTAGGAAAATGGAAGAAAAAAATAGTTCTTTTGTATAAATATGAAATTTATGCATATCTTTGTGTTATTAACAGTAGTTATTCCTGTAAAATTATACTGTTTTAAAAATATAGTAGAATAAATGGTTAAAGGTTCTGAGATTTTTAAGCAATTTTCAGAAATTTAGAAATTATAAGTTATATTTTTATTACCAAGACAGCTGTAGGAAAATGTTGCTTGGCAATGAATTGTTGTAAAAAGTGTTACAATTAGGTTGTTTACACGTTTGTTCCATTGTTTCTGATGACAAATGGAGGTGGTCGTGGATAGCGTGTCTAGTAGCAGGTTACTAGTTACACTGCGCTAATTCTGTCATTAATGAACCTCACGATACCAGACTCGAGGTGTTCTTAGCAGACGTCCGTCCTGTAGGGAGGGTTCGACGCGGCGACAACGCAGGCGACACCCAACATGTTATTAAGGCCTATCATCCAATCTCACATTCGTTCTTATCACAGTCACCTCAATAAATTGTATCTGATTACTGTTTAAAAAAAAACACCGAAAGGGCAAAGGGATTTATTAATGCATTTGGTCACTGAAAAGAAGAGGTCGTATCGAAATATCAGTCTCCGATCCTAATCTAGATTACTACCCAACACAAACAATTCCTACTGGCAGTTTAGATAATCAAATTCATTGCAAACAACAGTGAAATCTCCTTTCCTTCATTCTAAACAAAGTCTAATTTAGGAATAGATTTTTATCTCCCGGAGAACTATTTAAACTCGAGTAGATACTGTGTATGATAAGTTTAGTATTTCGTTAAGATTTGCTTTCTTCTGAGTGTTATATACAGAAATCTTATTCTTAATTCTCGATAACATCAGAATTTTATGACATTTGGGTGTTCATTTCACAGAAAATTTAATGAGTTATTTTGACAATTGATTTTATCGTAATTTTGAACTGTCGGAACTTCATAATGTGTCCGAAATCATTATTACATTATCGTAAAAACTCCAGCAATGGTTGATCATTTCGACTGGTTTAATCGCGGCTGCTCCCCCATCTGTGAACTATGTAGGAATTATTTGAAGATGACACTTGAATGGGTCCAGTCGTTTGGGCAATGGACACAATCGGCACTGCGAGTGTGACCACTATCTGTGGTCATTGTAGGCCACTACCCCATACCCGGGGCTTTGTCCGGATGGTCACTACCTGTCCAGCTGCTTTGTCCACCCCAGTGAATGACCACTTGACAGTGACAAATTAGGTATTGATGACCACTCCAGCTCCAGCCACTGATATTTGTTTAAAAGATTTCACCCTATAATCTGACTTTCAAACAGAATGTTTACTTTGTAAATATATACAGTTGCTGTTGAAACACAACAGATCCAGAAATAACAAGGTTATTGACACATTAACAATCTAAATAGTTCCTTAATTATCAAATATAAAAACAAAATAATATAGTAATTCAAAATGAGTGTCATCAAACTAGATACTTGAAAATAATCTGTGTTTTACAACTTTATGTCAGAAATTCTAATTTTTTTTCCAAGGTTAAACTACTAATGATCCATTAATACACATAGATCTAGAGGTATATCTTTCTATAACAAATTGTGCCAAACACAATAAGGTTAACATTTAAATTTCCTTGGGGATTTCAAATCAATGCTGTGACCCTGTCTTTGCCGAAACGACTTGTCTGTTATTTGTTATTCCGAGGTATTTTACGCTGTTATTCTCCTGTTTCTCAACTCGGCTTGTGCATACCGCCATTTGTGTGATCATGTGACCCTCTAAAGTAGAGGTCTGTCCAATACAGGATGTAAATCATCGTCATGCTGGACAGGAAAATCAGGGGTCTTGTGACAGTGTCATCATTACCACAAAAAAGTCTGACAGTTGTGCCTGTTATTATCATCCCTCACCACCTATTGCGCCCCAAATCACCGTGGAAAGCTGACAAAATGACTGCTCCGCCACCAAAATGGCTTCCCTTATGTTATAACATTTAGAGATTGACCATAATTAGGTGGAGATTCTTCAAACTTTTTAAGATCAATTGATCAAGTTGACAATTTGAGTATTCCTTTTCGGAAAAAGGTTAGGGTCTAAGTGTGGTGTCGGGGTTCGGGAAAACTTTGCCTACCTTGTGATTGGTCGAATTTGCAGACCAGACTTGTGCAGTTGTTGTAGAATTCGACCAAGACGTGGTTGGCTACAACTTAGACCCGTCATTATCTCTTTAATAACTGGTAGTTTTTGTGAAATTATGGTTTATTTACATCAAAATCGGACATTGAAATTAACTATAATTAAACCCATTAGCATGTCGTATTTTTGTTTTTTAAGTAATAAAGACGACATTTAGATAATTGAATACTGGAATTTTATCTGAACCTTTTTTTTTTACTGATTGTCTTGGTGATCCAAATTCTTTAGATCGAGTGGAAGTATTAATTAATAGTATGCTATTTCTGTTGTAAAACTTCGAAATGAGATGTTAAAAATTTGTAACTGAATATGCGATCATATTATGAAAATAGATTTAGAAACAATGTCTTATTTTGTATAGAGTTCCAAAAGAAAGTGAAAAGTTTGGAAATCCCATGTTTAACTATCTGACATACTAAAGTTGAAAGTTGTACTTGAGTCGGTAAGGACTCGGTTGTGCAGCACTCGAATTGATAAAAAAAAAAGACGATATGAAAAAAATAGGATAGGTAGTGCATAAATAACGACCAAACATATTACAGGACACTTGTAAGGATGAGAATGTGGTTACGCAAGTGTTTGGGCAATTTAAGAGTAGGTATTGGGATTTGTTTGCCGAGGATCGGCAGGGGATCCCGAAAAGATGTGGCGACAATGTTATGATGGATAGTTTTGAGTGCATTGTATATTGTGATGAAATTGAAATCAATAACTGGCCAAAACAATGATGGGGTTTGGAGAACCCTTTAACCTGTGGATCGGCACTTGTGGACTGTATTGATCCGCGCAAATGGGAGTTTGATTCAAACATGGACAGAGGTCCCTTCTAATTATCATTCATTTAAAACGGTCGTCCAGTTTTCGTAGGTTAATGCAGTTTTCCTCTGGATTCGAGTGGTCCCTGAGGAGGGGTGCAATTTGGTACAATATCTATTTTACTTTGATTGAAATTGGATTGACATGTTTTGCATAGCAAATGTCCCTGTGGGAAAAACAAAGGGTCAGAGGTCATATTTGGGTGCTCACTCACCCACCAATACTGACGCACTCGGCTCAAAGCGTGTTCCTGCGCTCAAGCTGATACCTGCCACCATTACCTCTCAGACAAATACATTTATCCCGTATAGATATATTTCCTTCCAATTTTATGTCCAATTGACTTGAAAATTAATACAATCAATTTCCAATAGGCCTGACCAAAATTTACATAAAGTGTTTTTTGGTATTCTGCACATTTTATTTGGCACTTTATTGAATTACGAGGTCGAAAAAGCTTCCGAACACAGTCATTTACCAATAACTATCGAAACAGGAGCATTTAATTCAATATTCCAAACTGTAAGGCTAACTGGACAGATAAGAGGCCTATCAAATTTGCTGAAAGCCTCAACATTCTAGGTCTGTCGAGACATAGCTTCATCTTGACAGGGAGAAACACTGATCGCCATGACAACATGCAATAGCTTTTATATGCTTGTTACTTTTTTTCCTGTTGTTTTGACATTGCAAAAGAAACTGAAGTCTGTAGTGTTTCTAGGCTATCAATAGAATGGATACTGGAACTTTACAAAAAATAAATAATACCCCGATAATTTGAATTTAGAAATGAATCTGTTTAAAACCCGAGACGTTCGGTAATGTACTGAAGTATTGTTGTCGGAATATGAGATATTTCACACGATCACATTATTATTTTTATTTATAATGGAATTTTCTTGTCTAAAGATTTCATACTTTATTAATTTGTACACAAAATATATCTGATACGTATAAGGTGTACAGGTCTCTTTTTAATCGTAGTGCGATTTTCACGGTGAAGGGAATCTACAAATTGTAATTGTACAGAACTTTTTAGTTTCAACCTTAGTTTCAGCAGCAAAATGATTTGTACTTTACTCACTAATGCTGTGTTTAGTATTTTCTGTATGTACAGTATCTGCCCTGTAATAATAATGGATTTTCGTTTCTGTTCACAGCATCCTTACCCATCAGAGGAACAAAAGAAACAGTTAGCTCAAGACACAGGACTAACAATATTACAAGTCAATAACTGGTGAGTAGAACCGCACCATAGCACACCATGTAAATAAATAAATATAGTTTCTTCACGCATCATAACACACCATGTAATTAAATATATATAGTTTCTTCAGTATCAAATACCATTTAAACACTATCAACGTTACTCCATCTAAATAAAAATTATATTTACTTCTGTATCAAATACCAATGTAACACCATCAACTTACCACCATTAAAAATAAAATACCAACATAGCGCCATGAATATAATACTATCAAAGTAAAATACCAACAGAACACCATCAAGATAAAACAACACGATTTATCAACATAATAAAGTAAAATCAGATGCCAGCATAACACCGGTTACTCCCATGCTACACCATGACAACTGACCTGGCGGAAGGATACAGAACTTAAAATGGACATTGTGATAGGTCAAAGGTCGTAGTCATCAAAAGATAGACTCTCCACAGTACCTTATAAACAGATGTTATATCCCTTTGCCTGAATCAGCAGATTGCAGGATCATTTTGATATTATTAAACCACCTCCCATTATGGAAAAGTCTGTAGCTCATTGTTCAAATTGAAGACAACATGATTTGGAGGTATATTCTTAAGACTGTTGATCCTTTGATCCATCTTAGAAAGAATAAGAGGGTCTGGTTTGTAGCGTGTTGACATATAACGTACGGTTTTACAGTACCCTGTAAGACTTCAGGACAAGTACCAGAGAATGGTGTGTGGGGTGTTGATATATCGGGCAGGGAACTCCACTTTCTGGTGTGAGGGAGAGGTAGAGGAGGAGGAGGGTAAGCTAGTGTGCCCACATAAATTCTGGAAGATGTTCAAGCTATGTTCAACATTGTGATGGTTTTGACATGTGAAGGAAGAGCTACGCAGTATGTTTAGAGTCTTACCGTGATGTATTGTCCTCAGCTCCAGCCCACCGTTACACTGTAGGTGTTGCATGAAATTGCTGTGTTTCCAGAACTTCGTACGCTTCCACCGACTCACAGTGCCCCCCCCCCCAGTGTTGACGGAAGCAATTCAAAAATACATATCCCATCATTCCAATTTTAAAATGTCAAAATTTTGGTTCATTTCATTTGCAAAAATAATTGCAAAGCAGCAGAAAATGACATTTTGACACGTAACAGGTTTCAGTGCCAGTTGGTATGAATGAAAGCAGACTTAAACCAAAAGTATCCGCCCAAGTTAATTTGATATTTTCGAAATATGTAATAAGTTCTGGTGAAAATAATTAAGATAATTTTCTTATGAAATAGTATTGATTCATTGTAATCATCCATGAAAAACAATGACAGATAAGTAGGATTTTGTTTATTACAATACAATCATCTCCAACTGAAGATCCATATGAAATAATTTCTGGAATTTTATTCAACAAAACAGCCATGGTGTTTATTAGAAATAAGATTAAACAAAAGGCCTTTTGTATGAAACCTAGGCTGGTGATTTCATTAACGAAGCCACCCCCAGTTAGTTATCCCAACTGTGTGTGTATATATCTAGCATTAAAGCTAGCAAATCATACCTTGGCTTTCTTTATTTTCAATGTCAACAATTTTCATAAAAAAACTCCTCGGCTGAATGTGGTGTTAATGAAAAAGTGTTTAAAGTGCCGTGATCCGTATTTAAGCGTACTTGGTACTATTATGACCTTTCATACAATTACGCTCGTTGAAAACGGTATCTAGTGGTACCGGCCTTTGTTTATCTAACTAGCACAAGTTTAAAATAAAATTTAAAATCCGATTAAAGAGAAAGAATTATGCAAGTGCATAATATCAAGTTTCGAGATACAATCTGGGTTTTGAAACTTTGCGTTTTGATAATCGAATGGTCCCAAAAATGACACCCATATCAATCTATTTAATCATGAGCAAGCATTATAGCACCTTTGGAAACGAGACTTTACCGGAAAGTTCAATTGTATGGTGTGGTTATTTTCTATTCAATCGTTGAAGGGAAAATAAAAGGCCACTTCACGCTGATTAGCTGGCGTGCTGTCAGACTGGTCCAGTACATCGGCCTGTTGACGGTCTGTCGAAGGTGGATTATTGATGTAAACGATTCTGACGAATTATTATATTGAAAGCAACACAGAAATATCTTCATAATTACGAAATTATAGGCAATTACACAGAAAGGCAGAGAAAAAACAGAATACTACAGCCTTCGGCAAGTTACACACACATTACTTTGTATGACCCCGTTTGATGATAGAGTAAGTTACGTGTGCCAGGTGGTATAGGGTACCGAGGATGTACTGTTGTGAGAGTGACCAGGAAGGAAAAGGCTGAGCTGGACATCCCACTGTCACAGTGACTGGGGAGGGGAGTAACCTATGTACAGACCTACTGTCATAGTGACCAGGGAGGGGGGAATCTACTGTCATAGTGACCGGGAAGGGGGAAATCTACTGTCATAGTGACCGGGGAGGGGGGAATGGGAGAGTGGAGTAACCTATGTACATACCTTTTGTCATAGTGACCGGGGAGGGGGGAATCTACTGTCATAGTGACCAGGGAGGGGGGAATGGGAGAGGGGAGTAACCTATGTACATACCTACTGTCAAGGTGACTGGGGAGGGGGATATGGAAGAGGGGAGTAACCTATGTACAGACCTATAAGTGCTTCACCCACACAATGGATTACCTTTACAATAAATAATATGATCTGTCTATAGCTTTAAATCTGTGTGATTGAAATAACAAATGTCTTTACTTAGATGTCCTGTCCAACTGTTTCCCTCAGACTGTGGTCAGTCACTCAGTCGGTCGCCCTGCTTAGACCAGCACAAGGACGTCACGTTGCCGTCACACCGATCACAAACATCCTCCATAGCTTGCCTGTCATAATCAAGCATGATCTTGAAGCCGCGGTCTACTCTGTTAGAAAGCCTCGGCTAGAGAGAGGCCTATTATGTGTATTTTGAATAACCTGTTCCGGTCTGTTGGGCTAATTATACAAAAATTGCCTTTGGGTAAGAATCTACCCTCCAACTTTGTCGACTGGGTGACTCTCTCTTTCAGTAAAGCAGGATAGTTGTAGAGGCTGGGTCTGCCGTGATTAACCATAAAATAGGCTCACATCGGGAACATTTTACCTCTCATTTCCCTTTTGAAATGTGCTCAGAATTAAAGTGTAATGAACCTCGAACTTGTGGAATAATTTCTGAAAGCCTGTGTATCTACCGTTTGCTTTTTAAATACCCCTGTATTGAGGCCGCTGTAAATTGAAACACAAAGAATCAGGTGGAGCGTGTGAGATGGCCAATTATTCCAGTCGAATCTGTCTGTGGATTCTGAGGCAGGTCAGGGTGCCCCCTCCTCCCCCTGCCACGCCCTCCTCCCGACCTACAAATGAAGGGGAGGCTTGTCTACAGCGTAGTTCACAGGGGTCGACAGTACCTTTTTGATGTACTTTATGACGGCGATATGGACCCCTCCTTGTGATAATGATGTTGACATGATCCAGTAATTAATATCTTTAATTAACACAGCAAATTATTTGATGATAACCAGCAGTAGAAATTGTTAGAAATTAAATCAGTTATTCTCAAAAATTTCACAACAAAGTCGAACTATTGCTTCAAAGATCCTTCAAAATATTGTTTAACTGGAAGAGAAAGCTGTGTAAGTTCCAGGTTGGTTATGCAAGAATTTGATTTAAAAACAGTACAATAAAAGATGAATGAATAATTATGGATATTAATATGAATAGAGATTGAAGATTTGATACAGACTAAATACTATTTCCTTCATTCCTCCAGATGGGGTAATAAACACCTTTTAATGTTTTTCTGAGAAAATAATACTTGCAATTCTTTCTTCATAAAAATTGAATTTAAATAGCGGTAGAACAGGTAATCACTTCATACAACATGTGCTTCAATGATGGGCAAGTTTCTCTGCTCGTCTATTTTTAGCAAAAAATCTGCCTTATCTAACGAGTAATATAGCACTCTGATGATATCTGGTGAAATCTTGCAATTCGCTCCATAAACATATGCATGAATGAATGAGGCAAAGATTACAATTTTTTAGGAAAAATCACACGTGCATATCCAACAGAATGCCCTTCAGGTGATCGAGTGAATGTGTCACTCACTTGCTCGGTAAACTGGGCCCGTCGGTGTCAATGAAGTTGCACATAAAACGCATCACAAATTTTCTCATAAAATCGGAACTAACGCAAGTCCCGCCACCCATGGTTCTTCTCTTGACAACAAACGACACATCTGGAGGAGATGTGAAAATCAAAACAAATAGGTGAATTTCTCATCTTTTAAAATGACTTCTCAAAGTGTTAAGATCACTCTAACTTATCATCAGACTTTCCCAGCTTTTTGTTACCGTCGAGGTTTTTCTATTCAAGTTCAGAATATTGTGTAGTGTGCTTTTACATTTCGAGCAAAAGGAAATTGTATACCTGTGAAAAGATAGGTGATAAGCAATGAGATTTTGAGATGAGAGATGAGATGATATTGTGGATGAAAATCAGCTGTGAGGTTTTTCTCCGATTTCTTCTGATAACTTCATTGTTAGGGCTGGTGTCATTTAATCATGAGCAAATTGAATGATCTTTCGTTATTAAATCCATCTCAAGAAATCTTACACATTAATTGCTGGAGAAAAAAATATAAATATATCACTTCGGTAGAAAATGTATATTGAAAATGTCTCATTTAAAAGCATATCATTCTTAATCAGTCTGACATTAATTATTATAAATTAGGTGTTTAATGTCAATTTAAATTATTTTTGATCCTGTGCTTCTGAGATTGTTTGTAATGTTTCTTGACATTTAATGTTTAGGTCCGCTTGGATGCTTCAAGAACATTAAAAAAAACCAACGAATTTGCTTAATTGGCATTTTGAATGAACGCATGAAATGTTTTTCAAATTATGTAATATAAATCAATAATAGAAATTATTTTGTTTTCAGTTATTTAGACATTAATTTTCGTATTTTTTAAACTGGAATTTGATTCTTCCTGTATG